AACCCCCTCAGGAATCCAAAATCCCTACGTCAACAGATACAGACACGGCTTACAAGAATAGTTAGATGAGCCAGGGCCAGGGTTATAGCAAGGACCACAGCAAGTGTAAACCTCAGAGAATTCAGTGCAAACAGAATTTAATACAAGCAGCCTTATCAGCAGGACTAACACAAAAAGAAAAACAGGCAGCCAAGGAGCTGAGAGGCACGAACCGAAAGGAACACAAAAATCAAGCCCCAAACAGTAGAGCGAACGGAATTCCCGATTAGTAAAAGATAGGAGAAAAGTAGCACAGGCTAACTTAGGCAGGGGTGAAGGGGGGTATATCCTTCCTGATGGAAGCAATCAATGCCGCCCCTCGGGCCTCCACACCAGAAGGGGGAGGAGCGCGAGCGTGTTCTCAAAAAGGGAAATTTAGAGGAAAGTAGTAGTAAAAACAGTCGTCGAAAAGAAAGGAAGGGCTCACACTCTAAGCTAGACAGAGGAAGAGGGTTCAGGGTTTAGGGTTTTCGAGCTTAAGAACAGCACCTGTTTTACATCTTTAGAACCGAAGAACAGGTACTAAATCAATGAAGGACTAGGAATAACGCCTTCCAAGAGAAACACTCAAGAAACAAACTGCGTACAACAAACGTCCCGAGAAGCTTAGGGTTTAGGGTTTAAGAAAAGGCAAAAGGTATAAACCGCAGTTCAGATAAGTATTTTACATTACCCGGCAGAGCAAGCATTGCCAAACCCTTAGATGCCAGCCCTGGACATCAGCTCTAGCATTCAGGTTTATCCGACAGCACTCAGCTGAGAGGAGCTAGGAGCCAGGCGACTCAGAGGATCAGAAGGTAGAGGACATAGGCTAACTTAGGCAGGGGTGAGGGGTGGTACATCCTTCTCTAGGGAAGTAGTCAATGGTGTCCGCTCGGGCCTCTCAGCCAGAATGGGGAGGAGCGTGCGTGTGTTTTCATTGTATTCATATTTGACTTGCCAGGCAATAGGAACCGGACTGTTGCTCCCCAGAATGGCAGGAGCCAGAATCGAGAGGTTCTGTTAAAAAAAAAGAAAAAAAAAGGATCTTTCGGTGCTATGTCATTCTATTGATTCTCTCTTCAGCCCTCCCGTGGGCTAGCAAACCTTATATCTCTTCGCTCGCCCAGTCTGGATATGACTTCAGTCTCTGTCCTGGTCCCGTAGTTTACATCCTTGTTTCTCCTTGGGCTAAACATATGTATGTAGGGTGTTCACCACGGTCACTAGATGTGCGATGGAAGGAACATGTTCAACGTGTGCTATACGAAGGGAGAGATTGTAATGTCAGGAATCACAGGCTATATCGATGGCTGAGAAGGTATGGAGTATGTGGCCATGCCTATTGCGAATCCATCTCTCGATTCGATCGTTCTCTCCTTTCTTGAATTCTCTCGGCCACAGTAGGACTCATGCTAATAAGAAGTCTAGATTGGGGAAGAAGGTCCGGAGCGTAATAAGAAAAGGCAGAGTAAGTTGAGGCTCTATCAAAGAAGGCATCGGCCGACTACGCTTTTGACTTTTCGTGCATCTTTTGGGTTCAACTTGACGTCAGTATCACTGGTTAAGATTCTCGATCAAGCTTTTGAGAAGTGAATCAGATCCTTCTCGGTTGATTGCAAAGCAGGTGATGTATTGTGCGAATAGGTGGAAGGTGCTCAAGAGAAAATATGGGTCTACGGTAGTTAAGTCTGCATCTGGTGCGCGTCTGTTAAAAACAGCTAGGGCATGCATTGGTTGGTTCCTGACAATTCGCTGTCAGTTGCTGAAAGTTTCCTGCTTCTGTTCTTGCTTTTTGGGTCGGAAGAAAGCTTTGATTCCTTTACTCTCTTCTCCATCCTCTAGAAAGACCTTGTCCGGACACAATTTCAACAGTCTCCTAAATTCTTACAACACTATTCGGTCTTTTACCAGTAAAGAAAGTCAGTCAACGCTGAGGAATATATTAGCTACAGTCTTCCCCCGAATACAACGTACGGTCATTATAACTGAATTTGGGGCATCTTTCAGTCTAAATTCAGCTATAATGACCATACGTTGTATTCAGGGGAAGACTGTAAATTCAGCTATAATGACCATAGGTAGGGTGTTGAGGAGTAAATTCAAATTCAATGTACGTGTGAGACCAGTAGTAAGAGTTCCTTTCGATGCACGATTGTCAAAGTCTAAGCTGCGAAGAGTATGTGTCAGTTGACTCAGTTGTGTTTGGGCGTCTGCGGTTAGGAAACCACTGCAAGATATTATATGTCGAAGACTTTGGATAGTGTGTTATAAGAATAAGCCCATCATGATGGCTGATTACTTGCATAACTACCAGAATGCAGCGAGATCCTCTTCAGTTCCCTGCAGGTGCTCATCGTTCGACTCATCTTCTTCTTCGTCTTCTATTTTTGGGAACAACATTGATGGTCATATTGCTGTTCGTCTTTCCTCTCTAAGTGTCCCTTCCTTTCTCCAGAACTCCAGAAACATACCTTATCCTCATTTCTGCTCTCACTCAATGACATCTGGTTTGCGTGAGTGTTTTGTTAAATCGTTGTGTGAGGTACAGAAGGACACTAGTACTCAATTTGACATTTCGGTTGAGGAATTAGCCAAGTGTTTTGTGGACAGAAAAGACCATGAACGGTACTCGGGGTGTGATGTGAGTGTGGTACAGGAATAGAAGGGAAAGATTGACGGGTTGGTTGCTTGTGCCCCGTGGACCATAATCCAGGAGACATGTTTGTCTGCTGTCCTGAAGTATATCGTGTGGGTCTGGAGACACTTTTCCTGAAGAATATAGGTTTTGTAGCAGTAGGCAGGAATGAGGCTGAGGTGATCAAGGGCATTAAGGACAAATATTTTGGTAATAATATTATTCAGAAAATTGCATAATATTATTGGGATTACAAGTGTCAGTTAGGGAGGGCATACGGGTTGCCAAAGCACAAGGATGTATCTACTAGGTGGAGACCTATCTGTCCCTCATGTACCGACCGACACCCTGGCTCATCTCAACAACAGGATTATCTCGAAGGCCATTAATCACCTGATATGGACAGTTCCTAATAATAGTAACTTTAACCTTAAGTCTCCTGGCGATCTCCTCCATCGTTTTTCCAAGTTCAACGAATTTGTAGGTTCTCATCAGGATATTCTTGCCGCAAGCTTTGACGTCAAAGAAATGTTTTCAAATCTCCCGCTTACTTCTATATTACGTGCAACTGAGTGGTTGGTGTACTGGCAGGCCTTTTTCCAAGTTATTCTGTCAAGTTTTCCTGTTTTCTGATTCAATTTTGTTCCATTTTGTATCAGGGACGCTGGACCCGTTTTCCAGCAGGTGATGCTTCCCACCACTACATGGAGTCTCTCCGCAAGGTGCTTGTGGTGTCTGCTCTTACCAGCAGGGTCCAGCACCACTAACACTGGAGGAGTTGTTCATTTGAAAAAAAAAAAAAAAAAAAAAAAAAGGTACTGCCATACTGGTATGAGGAAAAAAAAAGGGTGCTACTGTGTTTGGATCAGAAAACGGGGAAAAGGGGCGAAGTGGTCGATCGGCAGAACGTCGAGAGAAGGATGGTTTTGTGTGAAAATTTCCAAGTTGATTAGTATGGTGACGTTCGATCTAGCTAATACTTTTACTATGTGCATGGATCAAGTACTTCATCAGAAAATAGTATCCCTATGGGAAAGCCAGCTAGTCCAGCTTTGGCCTGTCTACTCTGTATTCATAATGAATTCCACTTTTTGCAGACATTGGGTGAGCAGAGTAAGCTGTTTACAGGGGTTAGATTGGTAGATGATGTGTCTGTTTTTTCTAAGTTCAATCACTGCTCCTTGCTTTCGAGGGTGGATGCGGAACAAAGGATAGCACGTAGTAGTAGTCAAAGTTACGATGCACGGTTAACCTTGGAGAGAACAAGTTCGGGTGATGTATGGGATTATCTGGTTTGTGTCATTAAAGTCTTCCATAATCCGTCGAAGGCATTGTGTGCGGTCACGCATAAGAACGAAAGTCGTGTACTTGGCGAAGGCATCATGTTTCAGAGTCTGCAAAGTTACGCATCTTATTCATCAAAACAGCAATAAGACGGCAGTGATTGCCTGATTTCTTCACAGGGCACGTAGTCTTAACAGTATGCCAGGAGCTGAGGCTTGTTAACTGCCATTTCGTCAAAATGGACATTAATTTTTTTTATTTTTTAAACGAAATTGAAACCGAGTTTTTTGGCCGAAGACTCGTCCAAATTTGCTGCTCCTTAGGGTCTGGCGTTCTTAAAACGCTGGACCCCCCTG